TACATGACTTGACTTCACAGCCATGATCCTTCTGCTCCGATCCCCATTAAGACTGGAGATAAGGGATGTGGCCCCTTTCTCTCCTCCTTTCTCCCCCAATACATCCATGGGAGCCCCTTGTTCCTCTTCAGACACAGCATGGCTCCTGGGCACTGAGTGTTCACCCCAACAGAGAGGTACCAGAATCCTTCCCAAGACTGGGAATTTCATGTGAGATTTTATTCTCTTTCTGAATGACCCTGCCAGTGACTCCTCTCCTGTTCCCAAGATATTTAGGAGATGAAAATTTCAGAGCTGTGTCCAGGGAGTTGGCTTCTGCTGTCCTGGGTGTCTGAGGGCACTATTTCCTAGACATGTAGTCAGTTGCTCTAAAAATGAGAATTTAGAGGGGAAGGCACTAAAGTCTGAGCTTCCCTGTGAACCCTTCCAGTCTTGATAGGCCCCACACTTGCCTCCGGGTACCTCGGAATACTGAGGCCGAGGTGTCACAGGAGGATGGTACCTAGTGGCCTCTCTGTCCCACAAGCATCGCATGCTCCTAGGTAAACAACCTTTCTCCTCACTGTTGTAATTAGCACACACATTTTCTTTAAGGGACCCATGGCAGGATTCGGGGGTGGGGTGGGTAGGTATTTATTATGTGTTGGGGAAATAGAATCAAAACCAGAATCTTCTCCCAACCCCCAAATCTTCCCCACGAAGGGAGTAGAGAAAGGAAACATTAAAGCAGAATGTAATGTGCATCACAGATAATGTGCTAAGAAATCACCAAGACAGAGGGAAGGGAAACCTCACCCTTTCATAGAGATGTGTTAGTCAGCATCACTGTGACCAAAATATCCAATACAAACAACTCAGAGGAGGAAAAGTTAATTTTGTCGCCCAGTTTCAGAGGTTTAGTCTATGGTTGATGGTTTCATTGCTTTAGGCCAAGGGAGGCAGAATGTCATGGCAGAGGCGTGGGGTGGAGGAATGTTGCTCACCTAAGCCCACCAGGAGGCAAAGAGAGAGGAAGGGGCAGGGGCCACAGGAAGATGCACCCTCCAGGGGGCCTCCCAGTGACCCACCTCCCCCAGCCATGCCCCACCTGCCTATAGTGACTCCATTTAAAGGGTGGACTGATCAGGTCACAGCTCTCATTGTCTATTTTTTTTTCACTTCAGAATATTCCTGCAGTAACACAGGACTCAGGGGACATCTCACAGCCAAACCATAACAATAGTCATGAAGATACACAATAGATATTTGTTCTCAAGATTATTGCTTTAATAGTGAGTCCTCAAGTAAGAGCACTTTATGTCTCCATTCCTCACTCATGACTCATCCTGGATTCACCTGGCGACTGGGATGACCACCTGAGTTAGGGAATTGACTTCACCCAAAGGAAAAACAAGCTTCTATCTTTAGGATGGGGGTAGTTTGGAATCTGGAGTCAGGTACCCCTGAAGTCAGACTCAGTCTTTTCCTGGACATAGGGGCATTATCTTCTCTGATGCTTCCATTTCAAGAAAGTGGTTCCCAGGTCCTTAAGAAAGATATTCCTTGGCCATTAAACTCACAAAGGATCTGTTCAGTCTTCAAAAAGGTTTATCTACAATTTAAGAAGGAGGAGAATATTTAGAATTACAAAATTTCTAAGCAAATGCTCTTAAAAATATATGGTTATTTCAACATAGGGATTTGTCCTTACAAAGGGGACATTGACATGGGTTATCATTTGACAGCTCAGCCATTAGCCACAACCTGGTTATCTTAACTGTCATATTTCACACCAAAATTTATGTAAACAATGTGGGCATTATATATTTTCATTTTCTTATTTTTTTTCAAGTCATTACATTGTTTTCTTTATCACTATTTAGTACCTTGAACTAGATTTACCAGTCTTTTGGAAATGGTAGTTGTCAAAACCACATACTGGAAATACCGTGTAATAGTGAGTCTTTGTAGTAACAATCTGGTATAATTACAAAGTATTCTGTTTTGTTTAATATGGGTCATATCTTATTCCAGTAGCAGTATTTTTATCATACTCTACATTCCTAGAGTCTTGGTATATATTAATATTTATTTCTATTTTTTCATTTTTTATGTGGTGCTGAGGATTGAACCCAGTGTCTCATGCATGCGAGGCAAGCACTCAACCACTAAGCCACTACCCCAGCCCCTTAATATTTATTTTTTAGTTGTAGTTGGACACAATACCTTTATTTTTATGTTTATTTTTATGTGATGCTGAAGATTGAACCCAGGGCCCCAGACTTGGTATATATTAATGCAAATAGGATATTACTTTCAAAGCCAGACCTTGATTTATAAGTAAAACTGAAGAATCAGAATCAGTTGACTTCTTAAAAATATAGATTTGATCAATATTTTGAATAGGAGATATATTTAAAATACAAAAGGTGAAAAGTGTTTATAGCTCAAAGTATCTCTGTCCCCAATGTCACCAAACCACTGGGGGTTTTCCCTTCCTCCCCAAAACACATGGTCCAACTTCTTACATATTCCACCAGAGACAAACTACAGGTTTAGCTAAAATCATGTGCGCACAGTTTATTATTTTTTTTTCTAAAAAACCACAAATGGTACCACACTCTATACACTGACCTGCCCTTTTCCTTTTTACTGATTCATTGTCAGAGAATGTCAAAAATAGCAATAATATTGGATTTCTTTTTTACCCTTTGGATTCAATGCTTTCATTGTTTCCTATTTAAGTTGATTTTGGATTTGAAATTTAGATAGCTATATTTTATGTATCTAACATATTTTAATACGTTAAAGAATCAGTTGCATGGTGCAACATGATACCTATCAATCACACGTGGGTGTTGAGTTTGTGATATGTGGCTAGTGAGATGAAGAAACTGTACTTTTAATTTTGTTTAATGTTAATTTTAAATAGCTGCTGTGGCTAATAATTATTGTATTGTACAATGCAGGTCTTAGAAATTTCTCCCTGCAATCTGTTAATATGGCCAATTATATTAATATGTTTTTTTAAATGTGGACAGCTGGAATAAGCCCATTTTGTCATAAAGTAGAGCTCTAGCATTTTCCTGGG